CCAGGAACAATAGAAATTAGAGCTCTACCTATCTCCATGAATCATGGCTCTTTAAATTTCCATTCGGAGGAGAGGAACAGGGAGGGGAAGGGTATTATTTCTTCCCGACGCGAAATTACGCGTTGAATTTTTCCCATCGGACTCTCACCCCCGGCCCATCGCAAACGTTCACGGCCAATCCTGCTTTTTCCTCCCCGAATCCGCTGGGCGCGCGCAAGCTTCAGTATTTTACGTCGTACACAGATTGGTAAAAAATGTATTACCATCGAGAGATCACGTAACGTGCATATATTTTCTACGGCTAAAGAAAGGCCGAGCGAACACGTTTATAAAAAACTGCGAGAAAACGACGGAGGTGGAGGCAGCACGTCGCCGTAGGATGCATGGGGTCATGAACTCTTCCGGCGGATTTATCGCTTTATTTAAAGGCCACTACAAGCTAACGAGACGGTTGACATATCCACTTTTCCACCGCGGGTACAATTTAGTGGCACGTTACACGCCAGCGCGCCGCCCCTTCTATGAGTTATCATCCTTTGAAAGCCCCCGCGCATCTTCCGAAGCATTAATCTTGCTTGGAATCCCTTGCACCTTGGGCACCACCTGGTACATGATAACGTGGAATGAAGCTTCCCCTATTCGTAGACAGAAAGTAATTTGTTTCGGTTAACAACACTATTTGTAGCTTTGTTCGTGGCGGGATCGAAACAACTTCCATCGGCGATATCTCACGTGGAATACCGGCTGTTGGCTGGGTATTAAGAGCGAGATTGAGAAACCTTGGAAGACGGAGAGATTACGCGGCGCGAAATAATGCTCTAAGTAATTATTACAGTCGGAAAATGTCAGGACGTAGCACGCTAATGAAGATAATACTCGCGCTGTAAATCGTGCCTGCATTAAAATGCACTCTCTTCTGCCTCTCTCCCGCCCCTCTTTTCTCATTCTCTCTCTCTCTCTCTCTCTCTTTCGTTCTCTCTCAGACAGGGGAAGGTGAGATTGGTGGTTGTAAGGAGGAAAACAGGCGCTTCTCTCCTGCAGCAAAAAGGATTATCCACCGTGAAACTATTTACTGATTTAAACGTCGCATAAATCTTCCCTTTTAGTTCAACGGAGATTTTACTTAAAGGCCAAGGAGAGCCGGGCGCCTACCCTCTTCTGACTAAATTCATCGCTTTATTTAAAGCCCTATACGAACGTAACCGGGCGGGACGCGTATCGCGTTTTACGCTCCGCGGGAAATATTTACTGTCTTCACGCACGCCAGTGTGTTCTCCACGTTCCCTTATCGCGCCGTCCCCGCACACGAGGAAAGAAAGGGTTGCCACGGAGCCCTTTACGCAATCAAGTATTTACGAGGCCGATACCGATGCTATCGAACATAATTTGATGTAACCGCAAGCTGGAGCGACGAAACGATGAATATTTTCATGTAATGCCTCGCAAATAAAGTCTGTTTTTTATTTCTGCACTAGAACTCTCTTTCTCGCTTTCATCAAATGTCAAACCTATCTCACTTTAAATTCCAAAAGCGTATACTTTTTCAATTATATAAAATAGACCTAAAAATTCCTTCGTTAGAATCTCTGCGCGAGAATTTCTCATCCTTTTTCCGACTTCTCTATTTTCTTCGGATATGCCACGCTATCCGGAAATATCTGAAGGCAACGGCAATAGTGTCAAGAGTAAACATTAATTTCGTCGAAATTATACGCATGACCTACCACTAAAATATCGTTCCTTTCCTGTCACGCGATGTCCAAACGTACGGTGAATTCCCTTTGTAATTGTCGAGTAATCTGGCGCACAGTAAAGCAGCCGGCCCTAAAAATTCCCGCAATACGATCCGCTTGTAACTGGATCGCCATATTGGGATTGTAAGTCACGCGAAGAGCATCCGCTTTGAACACTTAACGCCAGACTTTGTCGGCGGCCGTAGACGTCGTAATCGTCGAGTCTCCTTCGCGTTCCTTTACGAGCTCGTACGTAGTAAAAAAAGAACGTGTTCGCGCCATTTTGAAGACTCTTCCCGCCCGCAAGTACTGACGAAAAGTGTCCGTCTATAAAGCTGCATTTTCTCCCGGCTCTCAAAACCTTACTTCACGCTCGGCTATTACGAGGAACGAAACACCGGCGGACAATGACCCAGAAATATTTTTAGATGTCCTATAAAAGCGAGCATCGATATACGATGTCTAGCTTTGACGTATCTAGGAGATAAAAGGTACGAAAGCCGAGAGGTGATAAACGGGATTTCCGGGATCCATCGTGCAACTGGTGCAAATTTTTAAGAGATGCGACTTTCCTGTTTTTTTTTTTACTAACGACGATAAGATAGCATTCGAATTGAATTTTCTGAAGGAAATTTCTCCAACTATCAGTTTCACGTGCATCACGGACGGTTCTCAAAGTTGTTATTTAGTGCAAAGTGCAGCCTTGTTTATTTTGTTATTTACGTTTACGCGATTCGTGGCCATTAGCGATATTGCGGACCGAGCGAATCTTTCCACCATCGCGCGTAATCTCGACCGCAGACCGTGACGCATCATGTAATTTAACGGCGCACCACTCCGCACAGTTTTCCTACAAAAAAAATAGTAAAAGAGGAGAAAGGTAAGAAAAAGAAAGAAAGAGAGAGAAAACGAAAACAGAGTTCTGGTTTTATCTCTGTCGCGGGTGGCCGTCCATCTCTTGAGGGATGGCCACCTCAAAGTAGTCGATCAAAAACACGCGTGCAGCTCGGGTTAGGTCGCAGAGGTCAATTTCTCGCCGGCTATAATCCGGGTACATAAACGTCCCCGATAAAGGCGAGCCATATATTTCTTCGCGTATACACCGCAGACGCATCCGCTACCATTCGCAATAAATAACCGTATTGTTTTAGGATCGCACGCACATCTTCGCGATTGTCTGACGTCATTCGATTTTTACTACCCGCCATTTAACAGTTTCTCGAGTATCTTTCCGCAGTATCTGTTAAGCTATTTCTATCTCACCTCAAATGCAGGTTTACATAAGACGGTTTCGTACTTGGTTGAAGCGTCGCAAGAATAAATGTCTCGGAGCGATCTAATTGAATAAAATGGTAAAATGGCAAATAAGAAAAAGCGTAAAACTATTTATAAAAGAAACACGAAGTATAATATCTCTCTGCAGCAGTTCTGTTACTCCCGATTAAATATAGAATGTATTCCCTATGAACAGAATGGTTCCTTATTTTTCTGGCTTTCATTTTTTGATGAACTTTCATGTAAATAAAATTCAGTCTGACCTTAATTCTTTTCCGCAATGTGTGTGTCAAAATTATTTCTTTCTTTTTCTATTCTTCTACTATAAGATTTTTCGCATATGCTTGAACTGTAAATCACAACAATATTAAATCGCGTGCGACATTCTTTAAGCGAACTAAATCGCAAGGAACACGCTTTCTGCTTCTATTAGGATTTCCGCAGGAAATATCGCGGAGTCATTTGTTTTTTCGTTTGCGGTCGCAGCGGTTTCCGCGAGCGGACTCCAGAGACGCTCGTCTCCGACTAAAAACGAACGCTGGGATCTCCTTATCGGATGACCGGTCAAAAGGGTGAATGCTCGGCAATGCTACGAAAGGAAACTTAAGGAGCACGATTTCGTTCGTTCCAGTTTCCGGCTTTCCCACATGTTTTCCCACAAGCTTCTCTCTCTCTCTCTCTCTCTCTCTCTCTTTCCTAACTCTTTCTCCATCTTTCTTTTCCGCCCTTTATTTTGTTCCTTACATCAGCGTTCACGTCCATGGGAAAACTCTTTGAGCGAGCGCGTGCCGCGTCACGTTTTCGTCGTACGGACGTAGGTGAAGAAGTCCCCTTTATACTCGGACCATGTCGAAAGAGACCGGGAGAGTGAGGACGAAGAAAGAGCGCACGGGTGTGTAGCCGGTAAATGTCACGCGACCGTAATTTATTTATGGACCTCGAAGGGGTGATGGATGCGACGTTGTGCGGACGGCGCAGGTAGATAGGTCGAATCAATCGATGCTACGGGATGGCTTGGCGATGATACTGCTGTGATACTTTTCGAATATCCACAAGAAATTACGTGAGATCGCATAACGGAAACACGATACGTCAGAGTATCACAGTTAAGAATAAATCGAGATACATGTGAATAGCTGAAACGATAAAATTAGACAATAGTAATGTCATTTAATAAATTCGAGAAATCAGCATGAATGATACAGTCTTTCCTTCGATCGCACGAGTTAAGTGACGGGCACTTTATATTCGTATTTTATTGTTATGCAATTATTATTTTTCACATGGAAAGGATGGTTTTGCTAAAATATCTAAAAATTTAGCTAGATACAGATGAATATAACCTGAAAATATAATTTTGTTAGACTAAAATAATTATGTAGAACGCTTAAAATGCGGGTTGCTGAAAATTTTTTTCCTGTATTGCTTATACTTATTAGGTATCCTAACAAATGATACTTTATTTTCTTATCCCCTTCCTTAAGAAGATTGTAAGGGCAAAAAACACATATATTAATATTTACGCTTTAAACAAACTACATATGAAAGTTGTGTTCATAACATTCTGTTTTTATTGAGCAACACGTTTTTATAGATTATTTATTTTATTTGTTATTAGTTTTATTGTTATAAACAAAAATTTTTTAAATAATAAAAATCTAAATTTTTTTAATATAAATACATTAAGTACTAAACATGACTTATGCAAAGTTTCATTGAGATTCACCAATTAGTTTATAACAAATAAATATTCTGTTTATTTACTGAACAATTAATATCTGCATCTCAATGTGTGTAACTTTACATAAATATTTTTTAATTCATATAGTACTTATATTAAAAAATTGAGATTTTTATCATTATTTTGTATACAGTTTCATATATTTCTATTAGAGTACAAATTTTAAAAATATTACTTTTTATGGAAATAACTTTTGATCCAGATGGTCAACTATCTCTAATTTTTTTGTATTACTTTTAAATTTAGAATAATCTATAATTTTTTCAAGTAATTCTTAACATATTGCATTTGCCTTACAACCTCCTTAATGAAAATACCTGATGGACTCACATGACATCCGATGTACGACGATACGGTATTCAATAAGATAACTCGATTCTAGTTAGCAACATTTTTGTCTCCAGGAAAGAAATTCTATTGGATATCGAACGTCGTGCGCTGTATGAATCCATACATAAGCAGGAGTTTCATATACGGCGTAACAGTATAGGTAATATAGGCACCTGTGACCGCGTTTGAGTTACAGTCATCAGTCGAGAACCGGAGTTCGGTCTGATTAGACCCACAGCACTCTGACAAAGTTTCTTGAACGGAAAAATAGAAACACTTTCACCGCACGAGATGCTGGGGGAAACGATTCTCGTTTTCGCGGCGCTCATTATGTTTGTCAGTGCCACGGTAGTTGATGACTGCGATTCTAGTAAGTTAATTATTAAATAGAAATGTATAAATATTATTAAAAAATACATTAACCTATTAAAAGAGCTTTTAGTTTTTAATAAATCACGTTTAAAATGCGTTTCTGCAACATAATAATTCATTGTTTTTCCTATAATTTTGTAAGTTGACTTATTTATTCACGTAGCACCGTTACGTAAATATACAGACGAGTTGACAAACGAAAATTTGCTGGATTATAATTAAATAATCAATAATAATATTGTTATTTCAAACATGCGCAAGAGAGAATTTTCAGATAAAGCGTTATGTAAAAGGTTTGCAGAAATAATTATCAAATTTGCTTTTAATGTATTGAGAGCTATGATCGTCTTTTGATGTCATTGGAAAAGTTACAGATCTAAGATACTTATTTTAAAATTAAAACTATTTCTCTTTACGTAACAAGATTTGTCGATATCATTAAGTACCTTCATGAAACTTTCTCAGCGTTGCATTACGTCAAAATTTTATTTTACAGAATATTCTAAAACATTTAGTCAAAATTTATCGATTTATTTTTCTATTCGCATTCTTAAAAATGTTATAACTTTATAAATATGTGAATATTTTTATTCCAATTTTCCAAAAAGAACAAGTAATTCTTTATTTTTAAAATTTCATCGAAAATTGAATATAGTTTATCTTTAGGATCATTAATGTATTCGATAAAAATTCTTACATAGAAATAAAAGTAGAAAAAAAAAATAAAAGAATCTAGTTATAGTTCACTGTCAAGGCAAACTAAAATATATTTAAAGATAGTATTATATATCTTATCAGTAGACACATAGATACCATGTACATATTGTACATGCATTTCAAGTTAAATTAAACATCTTGTTTTTATTTGTTATTTAAATGTATTGTTAGATTTCGGTACTGATTCATGTCTGAGTAAACTTATTTATACAATACCTTTATTTATTTAAATTTTGAAATGTTTTTTCCAATGTTTAACTCTCAATTAATATGTAACTTGTAATGAAATATATTTTACATATGCACAATTTTTCCATAAAATATATTGATAAAATTTTATACTTCACATATTTTAGAATATTCTGATGTAAATGAGGGACTGTGATATATTTTCGATATTTAAAATTCTTCTTGTGACATATTGTATACTATATAATATTGGACGTATTAATTTCGTCTTGTTATTTTTAACTCCTAATTGTTAGAGATATGTGAACGAGACAACGAATATAGTTTTATATTTGTGTATATAGTTTTATTATTAATATCTATATAATTGCTTACAAGAAATATAATTGACATATGGTGATAATGATGAGCAAAATAGTAACTTATACGTTAATTTACAATCGACTTGTTTCACCATTAAAATTTTAATGCTAATTTAGAAATTTTGCGTCGATTAAAGCAAAAAATAAATATCGTAATTCGTACAAGTACACAAACTTCTTGAAATCGAAGCATAGCGAACAAAACAGGAAAGAATATACCATAGACGGATCAACCGTTAAAATTGTAGTTAAAACTGGAGTTTTTAAAAAGCTAGAATGAAGATACTATACTACTGACATTAAATACAACAATTATGCGTACTGATAACACGTTTATTTTGCGCATTTTCAACGCGAACGTACATTTTATACTAGTAAAATATATTTCTATTGAATCATGTTTTTAGCTGAAATATTTCTTTCTGTTCGATTTGCTGTATGCTTAAATGGATTGTTGCATCATAATAATGTAAATAAGTGTACATGATCTAAAAAATTACATTCACAAAAGGATCATTTTTATATAGAATGCATAAGAAAAATTAAAATCACACTGTCATGTTTGCATGAGTATAATTTACATTCATCTTATTGTCTAGGATTTCTTGCTGACCGGCTATCTAGCCATTTTAGCAATAACCTTCAGGATCATTACGGATCAATCATAATCATGAAAAGCAAACATGTCATCATCTTTTAATCTGAATGAACTTATATTTTTTTTCTTACGACATTGAAGAAAACTTATTATTAATGTCGATTTATTGATTGACGTAATCTTTTGCATTTTATGAGATGACATTAATCTAACACTCTAATAAAAATTACTATCAATGTTTGATAAATTAAAAAAAATTTTTAATAATTAATCGGTTATTATCTATTAGCGCGAGTAGACATCGTACAATAACTATACGATACGTTCGTCTTCATATATTCTACTAATTTCTCTTACTTTACATTCTCAGACACTGTAATAGGCATCTCGCTGAAGATCAAATATTTCAAGGCAATCGACTTTATAAAAACCGCACAATTTTTTGTTCTCATTCATCTTCTATTTTTTTTACTTTAATGTGTATTTAGGCATATTCTTCGAACAAAGAGCGTGCAAAGTATTACTTTAATGTCAAATTAAATTACCTTTTATGAATAAAATAATCATGCTGTTTGATTAATGTGTGTGTTTATGATTTACGTAATCAAATAATTCGAAATCGAGCTATATGAAGATACAAGCACAAATTATACCCACATTGTTTAAATTACGATTTACGATTTATGATTTTAGACATCCCGATCAAAGATGCCGATCAGATCAGTATATCCGACTGCGAGAAGCCTGTGTGTCTACTAAAACAGGGAACGATTGCCACTGTAGAAATAAAACTTGTGCCTAACACAGATATTCAGAAATTGACTAATAACGTGACCGGGATTGTTACTGAAATACCTCTACCGTTCGTAGGAGTTGATGGAACAAATGCCTGTGATAATATTTACAATGCTGATGGTAACAAAGTCGGTTGTCCCTTGAAAAAAGACCAACAATATGTATACAGAAACAGTTTCCGTATTCTGCCAATATATCCCAGGGTAATCTTGAAAATTTGAAAATTTAAAAGAGGACTCATATTGTGCATATTTATCAATAATTAAATATATACAATAAACACATATAATATACAACGTTTTAATTTGAGATTAATATTAAATTGGAATTTAACTATCAATTAGAAGGAAGAAAATCAATATCGAATTAGGTAACTTTGTTGTAATTGATCAAATTACAATCTAATCTCAATCTCTAGAATGATACCGTTTAAGAATAGTTTAACAATGATATAAATATATCTCTTCCTTTTAATTATGCGCAATTTATTTCTTTCGTAATTTAATTTCAACCTGTTGCCGTAAATGTTTATTATAACTTTGCTTACAGATTCAATTAACCATACGTTACGCATTGCAAGAAGGAAGTGACAGAGTTGTGTGCTTCAAAGTACCAGCGAAAATTACGAAATAAAGTGCTACATTTTGTTGATTTCGGCATATTACGATTAAAAGTCGTAGTGCGCATAGTTAATGTAACTCTAAGCTTATATAATTTAATTGGCTGAAATTATGTAGTACTATGCAAATAATCCTTCCGATACAGAATATTGTGATGTACAAAATACATTTTTTGAAATAAAATAATTTCTATTTTATTTTTTTTACCAAAATATTATTTCACTTATTTTATCTATTTTCTTACATTAAATTTTAATATTTTTCTCAGAGAGATAAAATTATTAGATATAAATTGCCTGAATTGACGCAGACACTTTTATAGACAAATTATCAATGAGAAAGTTTATTGAACTAATTATTAGCAGCATTAAATTTTAAAATACCTTTAATTGACAATTATATATTAAATATTTGAAGTCCCTTATGAGCGAGCAACTAGTCGCTTAGACTATACAATATAAATAACATTCACTAATGATTAAATAATAATAAGTACTATAATTATAATATTGCAAATACTTTTATAGTAAGAAATAATACAAGTAATGGATATTTTAGTTGAGAATAATTAAAGAACTTTGATTTGGCCAATCATCGATAATATCGTAATAACGAGCATGCTTCACGTAAGCATATGAGTATAATAATTAATCCAAGTGAATCATATCTTTAAATTACGCCAATTATAAATAGAAAATATATTTCGTTGAAACTCTAATGTTATATAATTATTACATGAAAATAAGAGCATCTATATAGTTGAAATAAACAAAATTTAATATAAAAAAACTTGGCACCATCAGAGACCAAGCCAAGTTTGTTAGCGCGCGGTGCCAGGTTTTTTTATATTAAAATTTTCGCTCTTATTTTCATGTATTTTTGTTTAAAAGTAATTATATAATATTAGTATTTCAACGAAATATATATTTTTTGTTTATAATTGGCGTAATTTAAAGATCTCACATATTTTTTGAAAAAAATTATTATTATATACTTTCATAGTTAGGAAAATAGGTTTGGAATAGGAAGTAATTTTTTTCTTCAAGAAGCACACATACAAGTGCGTATAATAATTTATGTAACGGTTTTTTCTGAGAGGAGCACGCACATTTAGCGCCTTTTTTTACTTTTTTTTAAAAAATTGTTATGATATTATAGACCGAAGATGTTTTATAATAATAATATAATTTTGTAATTCTGATTTCTTTTGAAGTAAAATCTGTGTTTAAAAATTCAGACGTATATTTGCGGAAAGCCACGGACGGAGCGGTAAAGATTTGTAAATGAGTCGAGATAGCGAAGAACGTGCCTTTAATCCCATTCACGACAATTTCGCGCCGCACCCGTCAAACAATAAGCGAATAAAGGCTTTATCTCTATGATGAAACTATGTGTAGGTAGGTCTCTTAGCCATTTCTTACGCGACTCGTCCATGGAGGCACAATAAAACCTTTTATATCGTGCGACTCGCAGACTTGTCCGCGTGCGTCTTCGTGACTCGTTCTCGGACATGGAGAATCACCCACCTGCTTTTTTTGTCGTCGCCTCACGAGTATATCCTCCGTTACGGAGCACTCGCGTGACTCTTCCTCAGACATAATAAAACCCCTTTATCCATCCGCCCTAACTACCAATCCCGTTGCCATCGTGCTCGCAAACATCCTCCATTACCGCACCTTCATCCACTCCTCAGCTCGGTTAGATTCTTTAGAGTCTTCTTCTTTTCTTCCTTTCTCGATGTCGACGACGACAACTAGGATGACGTCAACGAGGACGCTCGTTTCCCGGACGATAACGAGAAAGCCTGCATTCGTGAGCACGAGTGCGGTGCGTCAAGAGTACATCGCGACGTCGACGAGGAGCATGACGAGTGGCGTACCCGCAGAGAGGTGAAACGAGACCAGGGAAACGAACGGTACCATCCGTAATGGAGGTGCAGCGTCGTTCGGGAAACGTAAGCGGATGTTCAACGGTGGCGGATGCCGAATCCGCCTCGAATGCGAAACAGAAACGTTCGGTCGGATCGCAGAATTACATGCTGTAGCAGTGAAATCGCTCTTGGTTACCTGAACTTGTATCGAGATGTACAGTGATACCGAGGAGAATCAAGATTGTTCGCAATAAGATACAGTTATGTACACATTGAACGAGCGAGTGAATAAGCTCTACTGTTGCCAACTAAGAGGATCGGCGTCAATGATGTAACGCAGCACGAACAACTGCATCGTCGGTTTTATTTAATCGAGTTTATATAACGCTCTACATATATTGTTTCAACTATTATTTTATCATAAACAGATGCAAAAGAAACTCGTCTATTATGATGCTATTCTCGAAAAAAAAAAAAAAAAAAAATGAAAAGATGGAAGAACAATTTTAAAGTAAAATATCTAAAAATTTAGCTAGATACAGATCTGAAAATAATTTTGTCAGACCATCAAAATAATTGCGGAAGAATTTCAAGCAATGCCACAAAAAGTTTTGATATTCTGACAACTAATTTGAGCGCCTATCCTACATAATTAGTTATCAATTAATATAAAGAAAATATAGTTATTTTTAAAAAATGTAGTATGCATATTGTATAATTTTTTTGAAAAGCAACTAGGTGTTTTTTTTTACATTATTTCGATTTATCTCATTATTCTGTGCATAAAAGTATTAAAGTGCAGTTATCAAAAATGAAGATAAAGATATTTAATTTTCAGTTAAAATGATTAGACCCAAAGTAGCAACTTTTAAATGCTGCTACAGCTAAATTTGTTCATTTTTTATAGTTTTGCCTATGGAAACTTTCGATCAACATCTCATAATATACAAATATCACAGTTTCAACCAATTTGATCATTTTTAGATGCTTCAGCCTTTCCTTGAAGGAATAATTATCGACATCTGTTGTACTATTCCACGCGTAATGAAGACGAACTCATGCAATCGGCCGCGAGCGGCTGCTTCTAAAAGATACCCGACGAGATTTGTGAGACGATATATGAAATAGGTTAATGGCAGTTGCATATCAAGAAGCGATACGCTGGGAACATCGTAAGATATCGCAGCTCGTAATTTTTAACGACAACCACCACTCGCTTTCGCAAAACGACGGTTAGTTTGAGGAAGACAGAGACAAACGGCAGACCAAGAGATTCACTCCAACGGGAAACGGGATGGAAGCGACGATGGTGGCTAGATATGGTGATTGCAATTCGCGGTGGCATCTGACGACGTCTAATGACCTCGTATTATGCGCGGCGGAAAACTTGCTTTAATTAAAGATTATAACGTGTGAAATGTGAATTCGAGCAGCATTACGCGACGCATTCCCTCTAGAAATCCTCAATTAAGAAATTGAACACTGTACATTGATCCATCTTTTTCAGGATCTGCTTCCACGCATCTCATTCTAGCTTAAGTTGATCCTGAAAAATATAGTGGACCAATCAGAAGTTGTCTAAATGGTGTGTCCAGTCTCTTACTTAAGGATCTCTAGTTTCCTCGTCTCTCAGGTCGAAAGCGAACGTGGAAATGGCGGATGATCGCGGGGGATAAGCCGCATGCTTTCGAAAGAGTTTCGAAAGCGGAAATGGCGAGTACGAGGATTGTACGAATCTGCTCGTGGAAAATTTCACCGGAAGACTTCCATTCCGACTTCATTTTTCGTTTCTCTCTCTCTTTCTCAAATTTCGCTTTTTATAGAAAAATCCGACCGAATCTAGAAAGAAAATTCTTATCTTTCCCGATCGAGAAATATTCGTTTATCTGATTTTAAAGTATTACTTCGGATATTACAACACGAATAATAAATAACGAATAAATGCGAGAAGAACTTCGAATGTATAAATACGGATTAAACCTTCCGCACGGAAAAATTCATTACGGATTTATTCGAGAAATATTGCTTGCAACACGTGTGCCGTTCATATCGATGACGGTCTCCCGGCTTTTCCCGTAGCCGCATTCTTATAATAATGTTATACTCTGCTCGAAAATAGAGACGGTCTCGCGCGACGTAACTGTTATGATCACTGCCGGCGGAGACGATTATTGGGTGCGCGGCTGCCAGGGAAACGACTGTACGGCTTTCTAGGACGTTGATATTTTTTTTCCCTTTCTTTTTATCTTCATCCCGGAATCGTGCACAGTGGAAATGTAGCGCGATCCGCACTCGGCTCGTATTCTGATTCCGTACGCGATCTCTTCATTGAGAATTCCGTGCTATAAGTGCCCGTCTTAACTAGATCACCTCAATTCTTATTCGGTGCAGATTATCTATTCAGTCACAGTACCTGTTAATTTTTAACCTTTAAGTAGATAAGTGGGATGCTCAGAACATCCCCAACAAATTTAATTTTAAAAAATTCTATTTTGTAATAGTATTATAGAGTTAAATTTGCATTATATTTATATGAGATAAGAGGAATGTGAAAATAATGAACTTTAAGATTTCTGGGCAATTCTTTTTATTTCCCTTTTCCATAATAAGGTTTTTAAGATAACTATGCTTAGAGTGCTATAGTCACCTACCTATTTAAAGGTTTACTTAAAGCATTAGTGCCCCATGGCAACAGCCAAAAGCTACAGAATCGAGTTCAATCGAAAAATGTGCTTATCTCACATTATCGAACATGCTAATTAACTTCATAATTTGTATTTCAAATTGAGCGACTTATAAATTGATTAGCCATTGAAGTCACGTTTGTCGATTAAAAATGAAAAGTTATAAAATATGTAACCATACAGCCATATTTTGTGGCTATATTTGCAACAATGCGGAATTCAATTTGTGTCGTTTATAAAACGTATTGGAAATTCTCGTCTAATTATGAACGACGCACTAGTTGTTTTATTGGTTGAGCGACATGAACTTCGATTAACTTGGGAAGTTTACTCAATAAACTGTACTGTCAATTAGGCTATAAATGCAGTCTTTTGTTCCCCGCGAATTGTGTGGCAGCTAAATCTGCTATACGCGCGCTGTACCTTCCGCTCTCTATCCCTAGAACGACACATCAGTAATTCTGACCTAACTGGGACAATGGAAGCTTTGTCGATAGCGGGGGAGGTGAGCCCCGTGTCTGACAAGAGTGTAACTACTACTACTTGCGAGAGGATGGGATTTTCCGCAAGCAGACCGATTAAGTGCCAGGTGTTGT